ATAATAATAATAATAATAATAATAATAATAATAATAATAATAATAATAATTCTTACTATTTGGTATCTATGCATATATCTCTTAAGAACTAAAGAAAGGTTTCTGTTCGACAAAAACCGGTTTTAAAAGATAAATCGTAATTTAATTATAAATTTAAAAAAAAACAAGATAAGAAGTACTTCATTAATTTTTTTTGTAGAAATGCATTTAATATTATTAAGATTTGTTTAGGTGGAAACAAAAGATCGAACTTTTCTTAGTACTGCAAATCTTTATCAATCTTTAATTAATACATAATATATATACATATATATATATATTGTTAAGATTTAAATGATCAGATACAGTGTATTATGGTTTCAATTAAAATTTAAAAAATAGATCTGTCACCACTGGCTTTGTTTTATTTCAGGGATGTAAACATACCTTGAAGCACATGATTTGAAATGAAAAATTTGACATCAAAGTTTTTTTTATACTTTTAATGAAAGGGGTAAATTACTGAAAAACAACGTTAAGAGATGAACAGGTAAGGACTAAACTGGAAAGTTTAAGAGAGGAAATGAAAGGACTAAACTGGAAAGGCTAAGAGATGAACAGGGAAGGACTAAATTGGAAAGTTTAAGAGAGGAAATGAAAGGACTAAACTGGAAAGGCTAAGAGATGAACAGGGAAGGACTAAACTGGAAAGGTTAAGAGAGGAAATGAAAGGACTAAACTGGAAAAGTTAAGAGATGAACAGGAAAGGACTGGACATGAAAGGTTAAGAGAGGAAATGAAAGGACTAAACTGGAAAGGTTAAGATATGAACAGGAAAGGACTGGACATGAAAAATTAAGAGATGAACAGGAAAGGACTGGACATGAAAGGTTAAGAGAGGAAATAAAAGAAATAAACTGGAAAGGTTAAGAGATAAACAGGAAAAGAAGGTAAAGGTAGGGGAAGGGAATATGGCTGAAACAGTGAACTAGATTGAAGGGCAATGCGTCTTACTGGCACAACTTTGTGACCTCGTAGCTTTTCTAATTTTGATTTTATGAGATCAGTATAAGATAAGCAAATTCAGCAGAGGCCGAATTTAAAGAATTTGAGCGGCGGCTTAAATTTAAGACGCGGCTTTAATATAGCTGGTTTCACTTAAAATTGTATTCAATGTTTCAAGATTTAAGCAGGCGCTCTATTAAAACCAGTTTTTGCGGATTTGAGACGCGGCTCAAATTCATTAAATTCGGACTCCGGTTCCATATTACACATTCAAACATTTCTGTTCTACCCAAGCAATTTAATAGATCTTTAATAAGAGAGGAGCTGTGATTGAAACCATACAAGATTTCGATCTTACGTACTATTTTCTTTAGTTTAACGTGGAAAGAGAAAAGGTGTGAAGCTATTAAGCCGTGAAGGAAAACAAAGGAAATGTGTGATTTTCAGATATCTGATTTATTGTTTAGCTCAACTATAGTGATTACAGTGCAATATACTTAAAAGTCATTTCTACACGGAACTTTACGGAAAAAAACGTTCATTTGCCAATTTCCCGTCATTGTTCATTTAATTTTAAGACAATTGTTAACCACCATATATATATAATATCCAATACTAAACCATACAGTATACAGGGTGAACCACCATATATATAATATCCAATACTAAACCATACAGTATACAGGGTGAACCACCATATATATAATATCCAATAAAAGTATTTTGTGTATTTTGATAAGATAAACAAGCCCCTTAAAGAAAGAAATATTTATCTTTTAAAAATATTTTTATTTTTGTGGAATAAAAGCTAAAATTTTCGTTAAAAGAAAAAAAAACCGTGAAGCGCCTTGGCAGCTGGAAGATATATATATCAATTGTAAATACTTTAAAACAAGGATATTTTGTGGTTTTATAAATGATTAATTCTGAAACCAAACTATTGGATACAGAGTGCAGTTTAACTTTAAGAGTTAAAACTTATCTTTAAGGATGGGAGGGGGTGGAGTTGTTACAGTTTAAATAGGCAAACTTTTCCAATATCATTTATACATCCTTAGTTTTTATTTCTAATATTAAGGAGCTCAACACTTCAGCCTGAAAGGGACTGTAAGCGTAATTTCAAGTGACCCTCCATGCAAAGATGGCAATGCCCGATTTACAATGGTACTCTTTGCGGGTTCTCTGCAAAAGTGACTTGCGCATTTCTTGTTTATAAGAAGCAACGGAGAAACTCACAGAATCAGAAAACCGACATTTTTCAGATTAAGTTTTCAAGGGTAGCGTTGTAAATCGGGCATTGCCATCTTTGCATGAAGGGTCACTTTAAATTACGCTTACAATCCCTTTAAACTCTAACTTTCTCATCCTTTTAACTTAACCTAATAGCATTAACCTTTGATATTTTAAACTATGAATTCTGATAAATCAAATAATCATAATTTGCAATAAAAATATCACCAGGTTGCAAAGATTTAAGAATTAGAAACTTAGAGTTTCTTTAAACAAAACTTACCAGCAGTTTAGTTTCTTAACATGACCCATATCCGACACCCTGGTCCTTGCCACAATCATATCCTCTGTCAACTTTACCATCTTCCTCCTTGATTTCTTGTCCTGGTCCTGGTACAACGTCCTAATGAAGAGTTACGTCCTAGTTATTTCTCCTCAAATCTCACGATAGGACTGATCCAAGTTGGAGGATGTATTTATATAATCACTCTCCACAAACTAACTTTTAAAAAACATAAAATAAGATTTTTAAGAAGATGGAGAAATTAAAATTATTTTATCTTTCTTGCTCAAAGGTTGTGCTAAAAACGTTATTTTCTCTCAAAGGTATGATCTTTTTTGGCAACCCTGTTAAACAACAAAACAATTAATAATATTTTAAGAAATAGCTGTGTATTTGAACTTTATCATCATTTTGAAACTACTGTATCAGTCTAAAAATTGACGTTTTCGTTTTAAACTAATAAAAAATCCTAAATTCTGAAGCCAGAGATTGCCAAGTATGGATTTCTGAATGACATGTTGTATATTTTATATTCCTGCGTGGTTGGGTTTCAGATTTATAATTCTACATGTTCATCTGAAATTTTCAAAAATAAATAAGTAAATAATAAAAATCTTATTGAGTTTATTGAGACAAATGAAAAAAATGTATTATGTGTTAATATAAATTGTACGAGAGGGTTATATACTTTTGAAATTATTGAAAATGATGATGTTTAATTAGAAACGGGAAAGGGGGGGGGGGTGAGTTTTAGGAAATCACAGTATTTTAATTTTTAATTGTATTAAATAAAAACATTTACATATCGTACAGGGTGTCCCAACAAACATGAGAATTAACTGAGGACTTTTATATTTTTTTCGATTCATAATTATTCATTATAGCAAGTATAGCAGTATTCGAAATTTTATTTAAATTCGGTGATGGTGATGGACCAAACCTCTGTAGAGTAAAAAAGTAGATGTTAGTTCCACATTTATTGAAAATATATTTCGGTCTGGGTTGACCCTCGTCAGTTCTAACGGTATAATAACCATCAAAATCGATAAAAAAAAATATTTAAAAATTTTTGTTAAAAATCACAAGAAAATAAACAAACAAAAAAGATCATTCAAAATAAAAATTTGGGCTGTCAAATGGACATAAGGGAAACGAACTCAGATTATCAGATGGAAAAAAGATAATTTGCAAATATTAACTTTTAAAAAAATGTTTTAAGACAATTATCATTCCTTGAAATTTTATTTCTTAAAATTAGAATCGTTGTTTCCGAAGTGTATTTAAAATGACACGGGAAGCGCCGGGCACTTGAGTTAGTATATAATATATCATATATATCATAATAATATTTAATATTCAACTAGTCCTAATTTCATTTTGGCACATGAAGGATTTAACATTCATGATGATTATTACTCACAAAAAGCATGAGACTGGGTTTTATCGTTAATAGGACTGTCCTTGAAATTTCAGTTGACATCCTAATAAAAACGAACAGTATAGGAAAGAATATGAAAAATATCGTTGATTGTCTTGCTGAAATAGTGTTAAAGGGAGTGTTCTCGAAAAATGAAAGTGGGTGTAAGGCTTTCGTCGAAAAATATTAGATGGTGATTGCTACTAATCGTACTTCTATCTGTTGCGGCAATAAGGAGAAAATTGTTAAAAACGACTCATACTAAAGAACTCAGCGTCCATACAAATTCAGGTAGTTGCAATATTTGAAGAAAAAAAGTAATTTTAAAAGAGAAACCACAACTCAAAGTAATTAATTTTCAAAGTTAGGAACGTGAATGTTTTAGTCACTTAATCATACTAAGCTTTATAAGATCAGACATGACACTCAGTAAAGAAGGATCACTTGAAATTACGTCTATAGTCCCTTTAATCCTTGTATAAATTAGTTCTGTTTGGATGTGTGTGGGTGTTTAATTGTAATTCAAACATCAACTAAGATATTAGAGAATCCATGGGTGTGGTGTACTGTGTATTATATTATTACGAAATCCGCAAACTTTTTTTATACTGTAGAACGAGAAGATAAAGCAACAATTAAAAGTTGAAATAGAAGATGTAGAAAATTTTGAAAATCTACGAAATTTTTTATAAAATCCGCGAAATTTGTTTTGTTTTTGATTTACAATTACACAAAGAGAAACTGTTCACAATTGAAATAGAAGATGGGCACGAAGCGCCCTAAAAGTCTAGTATCATGTATATTTCTGATAATTATATCTATACACAAGATACAAAACAAATGGTTTACACTATTATGGTTCAATATCGTATGCAAGTTATATAACATAATTGTGTCAAAATTCACAGATTCTAGTTATTATACACAAGTTATAATACATAACATTACTGCTGTATATCAAACTCGAGTTATTATACAAAAGTTACATAACAAAACCACTGTATACCAAAGTCAAATTATTATACACAAGTTTAACACTAATATTGCATGGCACATTCAAAAATCACAAAACGTAGTGCACGTGACAATTATTGCATGAGGAAATATGTATACCAACTCTGTTTTGAGGGGGGGGGGGTAAGTGACGCAAATTTTGTATATACAAGCTGCAAAGTAAACTTGCATATTTAGAAAAATGTATATTTATCAAGGCCTACTTATTGTCTAAAGTTCTACTTTTTTTTATTAAAGTTTTTTTTAAGAAATAAAATATTTAAATTTAGGATTTTAACAAGAGCATATATACTTATTGTAAATTATTACTAAAAAATGAAAATTTCGCTTCCGTGCCGATGCATAAGCGAGCAATCATAAAGTATTCCAAATAATAATATTTTAAACAAAACGTAAGAACAGTTCAAAACATAAAACATTTAATTGGCCTGAAACCAAGCATTAATTATCATAAAGTACATGATTTGATGACTAAAAATCTAATAGACCAACAGTTCTTTAGATACAGTTTAATAGACCAAGAGTTTGATAGACCAATGATTTAATAGACCAAGAGTTTGATAGACCAATAATTTAATAGTCTTAATAGACCAACAGCTAGTTTAATAGACCAATAATTTAATAGACCAACAGTTTAATAGAACAATAGTTTAATAGAATAACAGTTTAATCGAAAAATAGCTTTATAGACCAACAGTTTAATAGAACAATAGCTTAATAGACCAACACTCAACAGTTTAATAGACCAATAGTTTAATAGAAAAACAGTTTAATAGACCAACAGTTTAATAGACCAATAGTTTAATAGAACAACAGTTTAATATAACAACAGTTTAATAGAAAAATATCTTAATAGACCAACAGTTTCATAGAACAACAGTTTAATAGACCAATAGTTTAATAGAAATAATGCATTTTCTAAA